TTAAAATATTGCTTATATTTATTTGTAATTATACTTTCAGAACTTTTTAAAACTCTTAAAAATTAATTGACGTCATAAAATCTTAAAAATTAACTTGTAAGTTATTGCAAAACTGAGTCATTTAATTCTAAATAATTTCACGGTATTATTTAGTTTTATCTTCAAGTTTCTGTGTGGCACTCTGCGCTTTCCCTTCTTCCTCATCTGGAAGTAGCATAGTCCCGTCTGTGCTCTGAACTTCATCTTCATTGTTATCTATGTAAAACATAAAAAAATAAAAAAGAAAATTTATTCCTAGACATAGTCAATTTTTTTCTTATTTTATAGTCGAGTCTTTATTTTTCTAAATTGGACAAAATAATATATATGTAATAATAAAATAAAAAATATTCAAATAAAATTTAACAAAAGATGAAGAACAGATCAAATTTCCCCTCTTTGTTATACAAAATGTCATAATTATCGTTTGCTGTATTTCAGGAAAATATGCATGGTATGTCATTGTATTTATAATTCTAATTACCACGTGCAAAATCTTCGAACTCGGCAATACCCTCCGCGGCAGCATACGACGCATTGGCATTGACTTGTTTTGAATCCGTTTCAACTGAAAGCCACGTAAACTAAATTACTATACTAAAATCAAAGATTTGCATGTGTTTCTGAAAAGTTTTAATCATGATCTATTATACGGAATATGCACTGGCATATAAATAGCAATGAAAATGAGAATTAGTAATTAATAATTAACGAAATAAAGCTCCAACAAGCTTTGAACTCCATGCATGTTAATATGTATTATATTATGATAATTACTGAATATCGAAAGGTAAGCTTTTGTAATAATAATATTAATAACAATTATCCGCTACCAATCCGTTTTTGGTATAGAAATGTCTTATTGAAAATGTCATACTTATCAGGTATTTTTATTAATAAGTATTTATACTCAATATTTTTGAAAAGTTGACAGTTATAGTTTATCACAATATTTTATTGTTTAACATATTCCTACAAATACAAATTTAAGTTTCTAGCTTACATTGTATACTTTATATAAGATTTTATTGTAAATACAATGCGTATTGCAACAAGCCGTAAATCGCAAAATACCTCTACACAAATAAATGTCTTATAATTGCCCGTCGTAACTTATAAACATTATATGTTATAAACAAACAGTCTCCTGTACTGTTTTGAATACAAAAAAGCATCGAAGCATTATAGAGCTACAACAGAGAATAAAATCTTCCATCCCAGAATAAATTCTTATTCCACCCCACATCATGTAAAAGGTCTACTTTTTTTATAGCACATAATTTTTTCTTTAAAATTAACTTAGAAAAAAACTACATTTTGTACCAAAACAGCGAAAAAATACATTTTGTCTACAAAAATAAATTATTCATAATAATACTTGTGTGCATGGCACTCACTAATCCAAAGATTATTCTTGCCGAGTCAATTTTTACAATTAACATAATATTGCACATACAAAATTAGACTTCGTAATTTAAATCATAAAAAAGTTAATTATAATTATATTACAATTTTGTTCCTTAAAGACAGTTTGTATCTTACAGTCTTCCTCGTGTGAAAATGACGGCGATCCGTATTAAATAATGATTTTTATGTATCGTTAGGATTGAACAAAGGAACCGGGCGCGATACCACATCCTAGTTAGAAGCGATATAGTGGGTGTCAAATCTTAGTACACTTTAGTTACGAAAGTGTGATTTATATACAAAATCTACCGCGAACTCTTAATTTCATGTCTGTGGCAGCATTCTCTCGTCCCGAGGACGGAGAAAGGTATCACTACCTTTCTTCAACATAGTCACTGAGAAACGAGGAGTTTGGCGCACAGCACCAGGTGGATCTGTTGGTAGGATCGGAATGCCGTGGTACTTCAAACCTCGCTGACCAGCTACGGATATTCTTACAGCGGACTCCGGTAGTGGATGCAACTGAGACTTGTTAATGACCACTGTTGGTGCTAGATCAGCAAACCCCGACAATATCTTATAATGCTGAGCCAGTCGGAAATGTGCGCAAAGGGGATCAGTTTGTCGCATTAATTTTTGCGTGAGCAGCCCAATTAAAGTTAGAATTAAAGGGGATATTTCGACGAGATTCGAGAAGAAAAACTGGGGAGTATTTTTCTCTCGTCGTTGAAGCAGGGTGCAACTAGCAATCTAAGTTAGCAAACGTTTCCGTTTGTAATTATACTGGTAACGCAATGCGAATAATTTTTGTACTGAATTACACGAGAAATAAAATAAATCCTGGCAATTATTTGAAAATGCAATTGTTAATGTAAAACCACGCAAATTTAGGAGTGTATCAAACGAAATTTGTAACAAAAATATTTATAACTTACGTGATTGAAGATATGGAGTCTGTTTCTTCTCAGGTGGCGCATTACAACTAAGCTTGAGTTGATCTATTTCTTTTTTCAGCTACAAAATAAAAGTGTAATAAGTTTTCTTACTTAGTTTTGAGTTAAAATTTATCTCATTAATGTAGTTTTAATGGATTCATACCTCTTCTACTTCTTCTTTAAACTGTTTATTCTCATTTCGCTTTTGATCTAATTGAGTATTAATTGTGTCTTTTTCTAATCTCAATGTTTCTAATGTCGCAGTTTTAGTGGCGTCCAGTTTGTTTAATGAGTCCAACTCGCTTTTGCATACTGTCACTGAATCCTCTAGCTCATCGTTTTTCTTTTTAAAATCAAGCTGTTGCTCCAAGCGAAGGTGTAATGTAGCCAGTTCATCCTCTGTGTGTTTATACCTCTGCTCTAGGTTACCACGTAATGTTACACACTGATCCCTCTCTTCAGCACTGAAAAGCAAAACCAATTCTTTGTCAGAATAAAATTCTAAAATGCATTAATAATCTTTATATATTACAATAAACAATAACCTAAAAAGGAACTGAGGCAATGACACTGTTACAGACATGCATTGTGCAAGCAAGATGCAAGCAAAGAATTTCATAAAAGAAAAATTCATATATTGCTTTGCACAATTTGTGCAACAATCATAATTCAAAAATGTAAGTATAAGAATTTGCAATGCTTCTGCAATATCTGACATCAATACTTTTACAACTTCACTATAAACATGCTATTTGATCGATGTATTAACATACATGGTAACATTATTCTATTCTATTATACTTGTTGATTATGAATTAAATGTTGAATTATGTATAATGATTATGTTAAATGTTAGTGTTAAACCATCAAAGACTGTCATTATTGCAAAGGCAGTGCATATAATCAAGAGTACACAATAAAAGATAAGTGAAAATGCCACTGATTTTTACCTGATCTTGAGCTGCTCGTTGAGGTCGTCGATTTGCCTGACAAGCTCCAGGTTCTCGGAAGATAAGGTCCACCAGTTGCAGATGAGCATAAGACACGCCAGGAGAAGTCCTCCAACAAGAAGGGGCGGGCATCTGCCTCCGCCGACCCTCATACCGTCGATTCCCATCACTCTCTTTTTCGTGTTGTGTGCCAGCTATACTTCACGGAACATATGCCACGTTATTGATACTCTTCCAGAACGATGTGTATATGCAAATAATCTACGTGTCACGCGCGTTTTCTGTGAAACATGAGCCGTGGCCACACATAACCTCTCACTGTTCGAGAATCCGATTCTCATTAAGCGAGGAAAACGACGTCATCAGAACGATAACAATGCTCGTCGACAGCGTGCGTTTTATTTTTTTCAGCAAAACTTTTGCGCAACAGCCATTTGAAAGTTCAATATTTTAAACGCTTCGAATCGGAAGCGTGTTCCGATATGAACTGCCGGTGCCGGCAGCGATATGACAGCGTTTTGATAAATCCGTTATTGAGAATATATATACATCACAGAAATATCGTACTTTTTCAGATAAAAATTGTGAAGCTAAAACGAGAATGTTCTTGATAATTAATTGCAGGGTCAATCTATCTAAACTTGATATTTAATTAACAGTTTCTTTATGTTAATTTATCGTTTTCTCTCTTGGATTTTGCTAATATTAAAGTGCAAAGGTTCTGACAAAATTTGCACGTTACATCTGAGATTTCTAAATGATTATTAATACATAAAAATGACGACATACAAATGTCATCTGGAAGCTTATTTAAATTGCTAATTAAATATCAAAGTTCAAGTTTCTGTGTTGGCAACTTTAAGTATAAATAACTAAAAAATTTCGCAACAATTTACATGCTTTTTTCAAGGTTTTTAAAAAGTTATGAAACTCAATCAAAAGTAGGCTTCTAAATATTACAAATGTTTCAATAAGTTAAAAATTGTATACTAAATTATAATTGTTCCGATATTATTACCTTCGAATTACAAATTCACAAATGAGATTTCAGCAGACGAAGAGAGGTGTGCGATGATAAAAAAACACACTTTTATAAAAGTCACATTTATTCTGTGTGTCTTCTTTATTATATATATAATATATATATATTTACTTAACACTGTTCCATCGAAGAAAATTTATAGCCGAAAAATTTAGAGCGAAAAAATATATCGCGGTCTCGCGGATGAAAAAATCAACGTGTCACCGAATTTACGGCGCGGGGTTCCTTCTGATCAACTAATTAACGCAGGATAATCTAAGCTCGATCGTAGATCGTTCGCAGCTCGCGATGCCGCCGTAAACAGGATGAAACTGACGCGCGGATCGTGGATTTGTTCGCTTATTATCTCGACGAGTGTGATCGCAACCAGTAACACCGGTCTGATAAAATACATTCCCGTTTGCGATACGCTGTTGTTGTCGAGGCTGCTTTTAGCATTTATGTATGCAGCAGCAGCATCATTTTCACTTACAATCTTTTTCATTTATTTAATTTAATTAGTCTTATCTTTACTTATATCTCATAACATTTTAAAGAAATCGAAATTTGATGTGCGTTTATCAAAATTGTTATCAATTTTCTGACAAAAGATTGATATTATTTATTAATCCTTAATATTTATTATAGACTCAATTTACTTTCCACACAATACATTTGATTAATTAACATTACTTATTACACAAGATGTCTCAACTGAAGCAACGGTAGATAAAAAACAGCTATTTTTCCGCCAATTTTTTAATTAATTGGTTTGATTTTATTTAGTTGATTTATTTGATTTTACTTTTGACTTTATTTCCGCCACTTTTATATCCGGTGTAATAATTAATATTACTAATTGACGAATGCAGCTTAGATCAATTATTAAATCCATAATAAATACTACACATTAATAATAAAATGTACAATGTAGAGCACAAGTTATATTTCCTTTTTGGAGCGGAAAGCGGTCACCAATTCTGGAACATCCGGTATCATTATCTGGCTCATACAGCGGTGCACTTTGTATTGCATCATGATGTATTAGACGTGCAAAATCTATTTAGAAAGTCGTATAAGCGAACAAACCGATTGCAAAAACATCTTCTCTCATCGCTTTCTCACATTCTTTACTCTACAATATCTTCGGCTATGCTTGAACAGAAATAAAATATATTGTAAATTTAATAGCCCTATTGCGTTTTCAGCGTCGTTGCATGTCAAGTGCCAGACGCTCGGATCGTTTAAGGTCACTCCTCGCGACTTGTATTTCTCAAGCTACATCGGTTACACCGATACTTCTGGGAAACTTAAGCCGGTCGCTCAATCGTTCGTATTCTATATGCGAAGAATAGATCGAGTTACCTAGTTGGAAGATAATCCATTTGATCGCAGGACCTTCAACAGAAAATCGATCGACAATTTGAAGTGATTCAATTTCATCTTAATTTTGAAATTATGTCAAAATGCGAATTACTGACGGACGTAATCTTACTCTCGGACTTTCTCAAGGATTTTGCGAGTGACGTCGAAAGCCAGTAAGATTGAAAATAAAACGTGTCTACCTTCGACAAATTCAATTAATTTTCTTTCTTTTTAATTGATTTATTGTCAGTGATCGGTAGCGGTCGTGCTACACGAGCAATCGTAAAAATTGCGACGCGTTATAGTGAAATTGTGCACGTTGCGGAATCAATTTCGCCGTGCAATTAAAAACGATCTTTTCTGTCCAGATACTGCAGCCGGAAAATATTGCACTGACAGTTCTAAAAATAATCTGCGATACACGAAGTCACCGTGTACTCGACGAACGAAATGAATATTTCACGTCTTTCGGTTTAGGTGTACAAATGATTCATCAACGAAAGAACAATTCGCTCTTGTCTAATCATGCGTCTTGATTTTCTGCTAACGTCAATCGCAGACCCTATTAACACATTAATTGATATACGTAACATATTCTTGGACAGTGCAAATAACTTTTATAATTTTGTAGAAGTGGAAAATGATATAAAAAAATGTATAGGAATTTTTTTTCATTTATCGCTTCCGCAACATACATCGCGCTTTTACCAATCTTTGCCAAACGTTATCAGCGTTTCTTTGCAACGAAAAAGTTAGAACACGAAGCGGTCTTTTATGCAAATTTCCAAATGTACAATAAAACGGTGCTAATCGAAGATAATTTCCTTTGTATATATATCGGGTCTGCGATTAGGCACGCTGATTCCGTAAATGCAGCGACATCCGTGTATTATCTAACGCTAGTCGAAGGACTTATTTACAAGGATTTATTTGTAATTCAGTAAATCACTCGAAGACACGCACGAGACGGGACTTGTAATCATCAATCACGCGAGGCGTAATCATTAACTCTTGTCTTCTTACCGTCAGCTCGCTGCTTATTTTCAATCTCAGATATGCATCTTCTACGAATCTTACAATTCCTCTCGCACGCATCGTCCCGATTTACACGATTATAGCTTATTACAAAACGGTACAGCTATATACCTGTCATTAAATATAGTGAAACTTTCGTCGTGATGTACCATTATAGATCGATTACTCTAGATCGAGAGTATCCTAGTTTTGCCCGGCGACGTCGAGACCGGCGGTACCTTATCGAAAAATACAAATCCGCTCTCAGTATCATTGCAGATTGCGATATCATCACTTAGCACGCATTATTCACAACGCACCAAATTATATCTATCATCATTGAAACACATCAACGCGATCTCTTATTATCCTATTACATAGCGCGTAAATCACTTTCTCCTGTCGTAATCTCGTCGTCGGAGTTCTCTCGCAGTTTTCGTGCCGGCCAAATTCACCGGCGCGTCTTTAAACGTACGATTAAGATCTAGCGTAGAAAAAGGTTTGTAGTAAATCATGGTCCGAAGGTGACATTGGATCTTTTGGCCTCTCGTACAGCGGATTGAGCTCGGTCACATCGAGAAATCTGGTTTTTCGTCAATTTCTATGCAAAAACAGAATGCAACGCCTCTGAAATGATGTATCCATCGATTCAATATTTCACATCTTTGTAAGTAATTTATAAATTGCGAAAATAAAAATGATCGAATTATCTCAATAAATATTGACGACGATATCTAATCACTTCATTTCGTGCAACCGTTATTTCATCACATTATTAATCTTGGAAGCAGCATGGTTTTTCCATTCACTGATATCGGAAGTAAACGATTCACGGTTTCAATTTTCTTTTCAACTGTTCTGTACCTTCGCAACTATTCTGTACTTTCCATTCTAATCGCATGAAACAAGACAAAAAATTAAATATGTACGCTTTCGTTACTGCCAAATAAATTGCATCTCTGAAATCTTTTAGCTTTCGACATAGCTTTAGACATTTTTTTGCTGTATATTCTTTTGTTCTTATATTGTTCTCTGGCGAAATTATTATATATAAAATTGACAGTAAATAAGAAAAAAGCCTAGTGCAAGTTTGTAAAAAATTCATAAATAATTTAAATATGTAAAATGAAGTGTATTATCAAAAAGACAAGAAATAAATTAAAATGCAAGAATGCTAGCTTATGCAATTTTCAAAACGTAATAAACAGATTAAGTTTTCCAATATTTCTAAGAAAGAAACAGAAAACTGAAATAAATTTTTACAAAATGTTTGATTACAATCTTGCATGTGTACAGCACAGAAGCACATTGACAATGCGTTAAAAATACAATGAAGGTAAAAATTGTATTGTATAAGAAATTTAACTATATTTATTTGCACGATATACTTATGTTTTTGCATGAAGAGTATAAATGCAGTGGTAATAGGCGATTTACAAACAAAGGGATACCGGTGAGACGCGTGGTAGTGACAATTTCAAGAGATTTTTATGCACAACTTGTACAGATTAGTGTCATCTCCTGTCAACAAAATATACAAACAAAATCAAACAGCTGATAACTCCTTATTAATTAGTAGTAATACAGAGCCACACGTGTTTTTCTTTTTTCTTCTCCTTTTTTTCCTTAAATATTAAAGGATCAGCCAGAAAAACAAGATTAAAACAATACATTTCAAAGTATATACCATTTAGTTATCCCATTTACATTATACATCGTATATATATATATATATATGTATATATACATGTGTATATATATATATGTATATATATACGTATTCATCGTTTGTATTCCCAGGAAATGCTTCTAAGATTTTGGGTATGAACCCATTTAAAAGGTAAACAATTGCAATTGTACATGTACTTAATACAAAGTCCATTAGTACTCGAGCAATCTCTCTCTCTCTCACTCTCTCTCTCTCTCTTTCTCTCGTTGATGAGATAATCTTTTATAACATATAGGTTTCCTAATGAAGTTAACTTTATTAACGCAAAACTTCAATATAACAGATTAAGCGTTTGGAACGCTATGTTAGTAAACGGTGTTCTATCTTGCTTAAGCTACAAAATGGATAACCGAAAGCATACATATATATATAATATATATTATATATATATGTACAATCTAAAGTAAAACATGTGCTTTTTAATTATTGCAGCTTCAACATAGCCTTGAAAATCGACTGAAACGAGACCGCCGACAGTTTCTGTAAATAACTCCTCGATTTTTTTAAAAGCTTATTCAGTATTTTGATTAAAATATATTACGCTCAAAAAAAGTTAGGGATATTACATGAGCCCCCCTACCCCCTTTTAATGCGATGACGTACGCTTCTATCTTACCTTTCTTTCGTGTATTAATCTTCCGGTTCGCGCTATTCGTCTTAGCACAATAAAAGAGAATTAGAATTTTACATTTTAAGACATACAGTCTACCGTTCCGATACATCAGCGCTCAAACAAATTGTTTCGTTGGTGTCTAAAAATATCCTTAACTTTCCTTGGAGTTTCCTTTTTATCCGCTAAAATATCAATAATCATCCTAGAGCCCGATCCTTAAAGACATTCATTAATTACATATAATAATTCATTTAATCTATATCATTTTTATACAAAATATTTCTGCATCGTTGCAATTGTTTGACAAAAGCATACAAATTAACTTAGCGTTATATAATTTTAATGAACAATTTTTTGTATTGCGTGCTGCTTTTTCTCGTATCGTAACACCATCCCGTCGCGTTTGGCAGTAACAAAAGTATCTGGAATAATATGTAGCACCGGTTGTCGCGTGTAAAACTGGATCGATGACAATGCAAAACTTCCGTTATCTGCGTGAAAACTGAACGTGAAAACGAGCAGATTGAAATAGGAGACTAATAATCAAGGTCAATATATGTATCTTCCAATTATTCTACCTTATCAAAAAGTATTTATTTCATTGTCCTTAGTTTATATGATAAACACATTTCTCTCGGTGAGTTTTTTTTATATACACTAAATAGCTACATCTCAAAAGCGAGCTCTTTCTGCATATAATAGTAGAATGTAAAAAGAACCGCATATGCTCTCCAATGATAAATATATTATAAAGAATTTAGATGTTTAAAATATATACTTGTTGAATATATATATATATATAATTGTTTTAAACAAATACGCGACGTAATGAATGAGAATGCTGTCCGACTTGTGTCATTCATGTTGAACTTGCGGTTGCCACATAACGAGAAAATCATAAAACTGCGCGAGCGTGCGATACGTTGATTGTTTTTTTCTTTTTTTTTGTTTTAACGTGATGCAAATATGTGAGCATTAGGATGCGATATGTCGTACCGTCCGTTAGAAAACGCTATAAACATGGAAAAACTTACTTAACTCCAAAATAATAACCACCTCGCCATTTATTAACGGTACTCATGTTGTCTTTACAGAAGAATTCTCGCGTATATAACTCGCGAAAAAATAGAAAGATGAAGACGAGTAAGAAACGCGGTGTACAGAAGGACGTTTGCGTTCATGTGGAACACGAAAAATACTTTTCTTTTTCATACCTTATATTTAGACAGAATTTATCTATTCCTTCCTCTACTTTTCTCTCTCTCTCTCTCTCGCTCTCTTTCTCTCTCTCTCTCGTCGTCCTTTATCGCACATTCATTTCTCTCGTTTACTCGTATATCACGTAATTCACTTGATAATACATTGATTTCATTATCGTTGTTAGGCGTGTGGAAATTAAATTAATGAATAACGTGGTTTATGGGAGTCTCGGCTGCACGAGGCCAGGGGGAGAACAGGCTCACGAGAAATTATCACTGGTCGCTTCCAGTTTCATCTTCTTCTGCGGAGAACTCGCTTGCGAGCGCAGGTCTCCGGCGGGTCTCTTCACTTGCGGATTACTTTTCACAGCGGTGGTTGGATCTGCTGGATAATAAAGGGTTATGTTCAATAACGTTCTACGCGGGAGGAAGGTTCGCGCGGGTGACAAATCATGCGACTAACCTTGCAACCACCTGACTTGAGTGGCTGGTCCGTATCCCTTGTCGTTTCGCGCTGCTATTCTAAAGATTATGGCCGGTTTTGTAGTGGTGTCCACGTGAGCGGCGTTAAGGGCACTATTGTTCACCGAACATGAATTACTCGAACCGCAATAAACTCTAATAAAGGCTAACTGATTTGGATTCGACACGACTGTTTTTGGTTCTCCGTCATTGTTTAACGCAGTACTTCGCACTGCCAGATAAACGGAATACTCGAGGATGGGCCCGACGTTGCTGGGCGGCGGTTCCCAAGATATTTGCGCGCCATCCGCGGATTTCGATATCTTAATAGCGCTGGGTGCACCTGGGAAGCCCGGAAGACACGTCTTGAATGCCGCTACCTGTAACGAGAATTAATACTTGTAGGATTCCGAGTATTGTTCTGAGAATTCGCAAAATTGTTCGAAGAATTAAAAATATTTTATTGAATAATTTTGTGCAAAACGAAATTTATACCTCACTCCAGGCACTTCGTCCACAACTATTGATAGCAGCGACTCTGAACTTGTAAGCAGTTCCGGGCTCTAACGCCACTTTAGCTCTTCCTGTGAAAACATCCATTGTCAAAGACGATTGCGTTATATCTAACGGTTCGTCGCCGGGAAGATAATAATTTTGAACTGTGAAATTAGTTCCTTTTATCACTGCAACATCATACCACTCCGCCTCTTTCTTCTCCTCCTCGCTCTGCAAAAAAATATGAATCAACGATTAATATATCGTTTCACAAAATCACAATATCGTTTCACAAAATCAATCATAAAAAAAAAATCGACAAGATCATTTTATCAATAAAATTAATAAGATCTACCTGTTCGTTCTTAATTTTCACGGGTGATTCTGCCGATCCCAAAGCAGCGGTAGCTAATGTCGTTAAATCTGTCGAGTCGTCTCTAGCCGTTTCTGACCTGGTATCATTAATCTTTTCCTGTTTCAGACTTTCCCTCTTTGGAACAGCAATTATTTCGTCTTTCATCTCTATCTTCATGGAAGTGTGTGTTTTCTGTACACTCTCAGTTTCCTTCTCGAGAGGAGCAGCAACACCGTTTATCGATGAAATTGGTAAATCAGATAATCTATCTTGTTCCATAGACTCATCGGTCGGCTCCAGTTTCATTTGTACACTCGGTGTAGCAACGGATGCTGTTGTTGCCGTTGTTACTGGCGTTGCATTAACCGCGTCTGTCGGAGTCAACGCGCCTACATCGGCGAGCATTGGCTCGTTGAGGTCTTCTTCTTTCACAAGCGAACTCTCGGCCGAGAAATTGGCCTCCAGCTCCGGTTCGTCCTTAATCTTTTCAGCTTCCTGAGTTTCATCTTGATGCGACATGTCCACATCCACATCATCGGTAGGCAGATTATCAGGCACTGGCGATTTTTCACTCTTGGCAAGATACGATTCGATCTTCATGGTCGTCGCCTGACTGCTTTCGTCCTGTTCAGCGCCGTCGGTTTCCGCAGCCGAATTTGCAACATCCGTTAGAGCCGTCTGTTCGGATGGAGCCTCCGCGGATGATTGTGCTAAGGGCAAGTCAGAATTTACGGATTTAACTTCGGCTAACGAATCGAGATCCTTCAAATCCTTGTCACCCGACAGTTCCGCGTCGTCAACGCTAGTTTCCATAGGTACATCATCAACTGGTTGATTGTCAGCAGCACCTTCCGTTTCCTCAGAAACCTCGTCAGTGGCAGCCGCGGCGGCGATCGCTTCGGGAAGATCTTCGGACGCAGGTTGGTCCTCCTTTAAGGCAGATTCTTCCGAGTGAACGTTTTCGGCCGCATCGACGTCTTGAGCGGCCGCTGCCGACTCCTCGGCTGACTCGGCAGCATTTTCCGAAGCGGGTTCCTCGGTCAGATCCATTTTCTCCTCGTCGTCCGATAAGAGATCGTCCATCGGCCCGTCCACTTGCGGAAGCACGAAGTTTCCGTCGCCGTCGACTTGCATCGGCTCGCCCGCGCCCATTTGAGAAACTAACGCGGCCGCCGTAGTCGCCTCGTTGCCGTTACAGCTGTCATCTATCTTATCATCTCCGCCAGCACCGTCGTCCGTAGCCACCATGAACGATAAACCACCTGATGGTTCCTGAACCGGATCGATAAGACCTGCTTCTGCTGCCAAAGCTGCTAGCGCCGCGTCAGTAGTAGCAGGACCATCAGATGTAGATGCTGAAATATCACCTTTGTTTGCAATTTTTCTCCCATCGCACATTCTACGTATTAAAATATAATTTTACTTGAAACATATTTGCTTAAAATATAATTTTACTCACCTAAAGTTGCTGAGGGTTGTTTCTGCGAGGAGACTAAGAGCATTTTACTTGTATCTATTGAATCGGACGTGCTCGAAGTAGTCACTATGGAACTACTTGTCGGCATGAGCGTAACCGTCTTCGCACCGATGCCTCCAGACATTTGCAGAGTAACCGGCTTTCCAGAAACTGTTACCGCTTCCTATAATTTGCAAATGAACAACAGTTACTAAATTTAATAATTAAATTAACAATTTTAACATTAACTTATAAATTTAACATAAACTCAACCATCAATTACTAAATTTTCATAATTAATATATTGTTTTAATTTGAGTATTGTAAAAAATTGAGCAAATTGTTGATATTTTTAGACTGCACAGAAATATTTTGAATCAAACACTCACTGGAGCTTTTTGTATCTGCGGCATGGTGACGATTTGGCTCTTGCCTGGATTGAAGATCGCTTGTGGACTGCCCTTGGTGGCGATAGTCACTGTCTTTGGTACACCGCCTTGTCCCGGGACCGTGATGGTTATGGGCTTGCCGGCAGTTCCGCCGCCCATTGCGCCCGAAGAGACGACTATCATCTTGACGCCTTGCTGATTCGTCACGTGATTGGTGGCTGACAACGGTAACACGTTTACGGGAGTGGTGATGTTGGTTCCTTGCCCCGCGCCAGCCTGGGAGGTCGTCATCGCCTGCACAGCCCTCAGACCCGAGCCAGTGGTGACAACGATGATCTGATTGGGTCTGCCAACCAATCCACCATTGCCTCCGGGCTTCGTGATCATGATGGTCTGTTTGCCCGTGATGTTTTGTCCCTTGCTCATCGACACTAAACCGGATGTCTTCATGGTCGTCAAAATTTTCGATCCCGCCACCGCGTTGGGATTCACCAATCGCAATATTGTCGGTCCCTGATTGAGGGGCTTCGCGCCGGCCGTCTGGACAGTTTTGCCGGGAATCAGGCTCACCTTCGGCACAGTGGCCATCATTCCCTGTCCGGTCTTCAGGAGGTGCACGATCTGCGGCTGGCCGGATATATTCTGGGCAGGCTTCTGCAATATGATCTGCTTGCTCTGTTGCGGCGAAGCGGTGCGCAGCACCGTGGCGCCAGGCGCGGTGAAGCGTATCTGCTGGCCCGGCTGCACGTTCTTCATCCTGATGGTGTTGGTCGTGGTCGCGGTGGCAGCTGCAGCCGCGGCCTGCGGCAGGATAGGGACGTTGTTCATGGTGATCTTCGGGGTGGCCGCCGCCGCCGCAGCCAGCGCGGCAATGCCGGACATGGCGGCGGGCGTCTGGCCCGACGCTACAGTTGTCGTCGCGGTCGCGGTGGTCTGCTGCTGTTCAGTGGTGACCACCGCCACCGCCGTCACCGCCGCCGCCGCCGAAGAAGTCACTAGGGGAGAACGAATTCGAATGACGTTGCCGGTCGCGACTCTCGGCGTCATCGGACTCGTCGGCTTTTGCACCGCTTGCGACGACACCACTTTCTGCACGGGGCTCTGCACCGTCGATTGAACTCGTAACGGAGACGCCGCCGCTACCGCTGCTACGGATACTCTAACGGCGGCGGCGGTGGGTGGCGTGCTTGGAGAAAGCGAAGCAACGGTAGTCACAGGCGGAGATGTGATCGGCACGGTCGCGGGAGTCGTCGCCAATGCGGGAGTCGTCACTGCCGCGGGAGTGCTGCTGATGACCGGCGCGATCGGCAACGGAGCGCTCACCGGTGGAAAAGTGCCGGTCGCCGCTGCCGGTGGCATATCGTACTTTTGTATTTGAAGGATGTAATAATGAGCGGACGGGCTCGCTGTCCAGCTAACTTCCAACGTTTGCGTGGAAGCCCTAACCAACTGAACTCTGGAAGGCGCGGCCGGCTTGCAGACCTCGAGATACCACAGATCTTTGCAGCACACCTGAGAAGCGAGAAAAGCGCCGTGTCGTTAATGCGTTACGTTGCAGTTCGTCGAGATAAAAGCTGCATAATCAAAACTTAGCCTGACCTGATTGTTCCAAGCTTTACGATAACCGTCTCTTCCAGACCATACATAAAGTCTACTGTGCACACCAACTGCACAATGGCCAGCACGAGCACGAGGAACGTTTTCTTCTAAAGAATCAACGGTCAATTGTTCCCAGGTAAGTGTTTCTAAAACAATGACGTGTGCTTGATTTGAATAGCAGTAACACAAATAAATGTTTTATGGAAGCCTTTTAAATAGAATGAATTTCTTCAAAAATAGTTTAGTAAAAATTTATCAATTAGTATAACTAATAATCGTATATATATATTAAATATTATTAAAACTGACTTTTATATTTAAAATACTTCTATATACCAATCATTCGACGTATAGTTCAACAATTCCAGACTTGAATACTTTTCGACATTTAATAAGACCGACAATATTTCCGTCTTCCGCATTTATGTCGGCTGGATTTTAATAACATCCATCACAAATGACTTATGTTTGCATATTTGCACATTGCATATTCGACAATAAAAATTTTATTACACTTATACATCATTATATTACGTCTAAGTAATCTCAGAATAAAACTTTGGCAATTTATGTAGTTAACACAAGCGTGTTGTTTAAAACACACAAAAAAAAATCACCGCTACAACTTACCTAAGTTCAAGCATGCTAATGTGCTCGTACATTTCCATTCTTTCTCGTGCGTCGCAACTTTAACATCGTCGACGACCAGTGGCACCCACCCCCCGAAGACGTACATTCGATGGCCAATTAAAGTGGCGGTATGGAGTGATCTAGGTAAAGGAGTGGGTCCGTGAACTATTGGTTTGTTCCAGGTCATTGAATCAACATCGAGGAACCACAAGTCGCCCAAACGGCAACCGCTCATACCACCATAAATCACCAAACACGATTTTCCCGTGGTACGATCGGTATACGCTACCCCGGTGTGGGATTCTCTGGGGGGTGGCGCGTGTCCATGCGTCTGTGGCACGTCCCAGGCCGTTTGACCGTTAGGAAGAAGGTCGAGTGTGTAGAGGTCGTTCAAATATCTCGGTATATTGTTTTTCGGATCATCGCTGTCGTTAGCCAGACCTCCGAAAAGGAAGACCCTGTTTCCAATGAGGGTGAAACTGTGCCCCAATCGCGGGCACGGCGGCGGCTCATGCTTAGGCGGCTTTGGCTTCAATCGCTTCCACTCCCATCGACTTGCTTGAAGTTCATACAATTCGTTAGAGTATTTGCCATACTCCACCATCCCGCCAAACACCAAAATACGCGTGCCATCGACTACAAAGCCGTATGCCGCACAGCCCGGAGGTATGTCTCCCTTCGTGGACGGCACAAACCATTGGTTTGTCGCTGCAAAAGTACATCTCATATAAAATCATTTATAATGCAAGATTACATTGCAAAGTGTTTATACATGTGCACTCTTTATTTTATTTGAACACGATATTTTAATTCAGTGTGTACAAAAATAATACTTATAAATAACGTAATATTAATTTTATTTTCTGTTGCATTAATATGTAATATCTGAAGCAGAGAAAAATACTAAAATATCATTATTATATTTTTTTGTAGATTCTTTTATACAAATATAGGAATTTAATAAACATAATTAAAATCATGTAAAATAATTAAAATATACAAATTTAATAATTTTAATATAAGTGCAAATTGGCAGTAAAACTCATTTTCCAACTGTTGCAAATTTAAAGAATGTTATTGATATTTTGAAATTATTTTATTTTTATTTTGCTGCACATTCTGTGATTATCTTATTCTTATCTTACTGTTTATTATTTTTTTCAAAAAAATTTATAGCAATAACTTCAGATATTGCATATCTATCTATAGCAATAATTCAGATATTTCTACTTCAATCTGAAAAAAAAGATCCGGGATCGAAAAATTTCTCTAAACCTGAAGATGTGAGAGATCTTCCAACATTATAATAACTTGATAGATTTTGCAAAATAACAAATTATAATAAGTTCTATTTTATATATTTTTCTATAAATTTTCAACAAAATATAAAGTCATTACTTTTTAATCGAATTATATTCTTCTTTACATTCAAGAAGAAATAAGTACACATTTAAACGTCGAAAAGAAAAAGGAAAAAAAAGGAAAAAAAGGAAAAATTGAAAAAAAAGTGCAGAATGCAGCCAAAACGGACAGACGCATATGCATGCATTCCGCTGTTACCATGGCGAGCTCGCGCGCGAGGACAAACATTTCGAAATCGGGCTCGAAATGCGCGCAGCAGTGCACGCAGGCGCATATTGGATGGCGACGTAGCGCGAGAGAGATAATACTGCACCCACAACACGGTGTGTGCGGGGATGTGCGAGGAGCGGCAGAAGGAAGAAAGAGTAGAGAGAAGGAACAAACGCAAAAGGAAAAGAGAAAGATAAAGGCGAGAAGCGCGAACGTGGAATGACGGGAAACGCGGCGCGTTGCATCGCAGTGGTGGGGCGAAGGAGAGGGGGGCGTTAGAGACAGCAATGGCCGCTCCCGCGCGTATAAACATGTAGGATGACAGACCGCGGCGATTTTACAGATATGCAGGACCGAAAGAATCGCCGCGAAGGCGCGGGGACGCTCGCGCGATCAGGATCGATGGAAAATGCACGGCACGATCGCCGACCATTCCGTCTGAGACGCGAAATCCGCAAGTTCGCCCGCGGATCCGGCCGGTGACCGTCTTGTCAACGTATGCCGCCATATTGGTTCGCGGGAATCGTCAGGAACGGCGCGCAAGGAAAGGGACGCACGATGAGAAGCGCCGTGCAACGGTAGGACTCACCCGTGTTGTACACATGTAATTCGTCGACGATCCCTTCGTTGCCGCCGCCGAAAACGACCATGAGGTCCTTAATTGCGACCGCCCGGTGGCCATGTCTGGGTCTTGGCTGGGGCCCGGTCGGATTTGCGATCCGCTTCCACTTTAGCATGGGTGCCGCCATGATGACCGTCGATCACATCATTTTTTCATACCCGCGCGACCGTCCACCACCACCGCCACCAACACCACCGACAACTTACCCCTAGAGCGGCGCGATCGCGACGCTCGACGGATTACAGCGGGCGTCCTCTTTTATCACAGAAAACCGCGATCTACGTTCGTCCTTCCGCGACGACCGTTGACGATGCTCGGCAACGGCAATAATAAACGTAAAAGGCCGCACTTACGTTCGAACTCACTTTCTCAGCACTCTCGAGATACGCGACTCTCGAGACCTAACGTCGCGAAATCTAACCTCTCTAGAACCCGAGATAAAACGCAGCAGGTCTCCGTCCGCGAGTACTAGATTCCTTCAAAACCACCGTATCGCGACGTTCTACATTCAGTTGTGTGATAACAACAAGTGCGTTTCCGATGCGTTACTTGCACTCTGTAAAAACTGCGATCGAACCGAAACTCCGGGTGCTGAGATCCGCCGCTTCGAGAACAGTGTATGCCTTCGCGGCGCGCAACACGTACACAGAGAGACGACGCGCACTGTACGTGCCTAAGCGTGAGTGTGTATGTGTGCCTGTATTTATGTGCGCGGTGTTTACGGCACTGATTGCGTGAATGCTAGAGCGGCCGCTCAGCAACACGCCGCGGCCCGGGCGGATACGCGATTGTTGCCGTCGTTGTGACGCGATCCGTTCATATCGCGATCAAGTTCACTTTCGTCGATATTTCGAGTCTTTAAATCGAGTCGTTCAAGAATAATCGGCGTGTCGATTCGCGGTCAAAAGTTTTGCACGCCGGGCTCTCTCGCTTTCCCTTCTTCTGTGTGCTATCTCTTCTCTCGTACGGTGAAAACCTGCGTCAAAACGGACGAAAAACGGCGCGGCGAGAAGATATCACTATGGCACGACCGAGCGGCACCGGAATAGAACATGCGAATTCGTAACACGACGCTTACAACGAACACAAAGCGCGCTTGCAGACAGCTGGCGGCGAACGGTTCCGTCGTACTTATCGAAGAAACACCCAGAAGAGTCGGTTGCTTGACGGCGCGCACAAGCGGCCTCCGCAATCTTCATCCACCATTGCACAAAACTCGCGTCGGTAACAAGCGCGTTGCCAACTGACAAAAGTCTAGAGAACTTTTAATTAATTAATCGATATAGATGATGTTTAATCGATTACTCAACATGATCTTTGGTTCTTTTTTTTGCTCGAACAGATTAATTATTCTTCTTGATATTTTTTCATATCCAATAAATCTTTACATCATTTCTTGCATCTTTTATCAAAATATTGTCCAAAAAATTTTCCTTATTACATATTGGCAGAGAAATCAACCAATCTAAGCAGATTACCACTTGTTATTTGTCCAAGAAAAATTGGTCCAAAAATTTTATCTTCCTTGTTTGTAATATCCTTTTCTTCTGAATAATATTAGCAATAAATATATGTGATAAATAAAATATGTATTACGGTAATTGAAAATATTTAAACAAAATAAGATATTTGCATACGGAGAAATCAACCAATCGCAAGTCTGAATGCAGGATTTCGTTGAATTCTGGACGTTATTCTTACACGTTATATGATTAGTTGATTTATCTGCGCATATTTTATGCAATTGTGCCTTGAACAAGTTTAAGAAATGACTCATTAACAAATTTCTTTTACAAAGAATGTTATTTAAAGGTTAACTCTTTATGTACAATGCTTTGAATATACAATACAGCTATAACAGGTTTCAATACATATATGAATTTAAAAAAATGACTGATAGAAATCAATCAAATTTTATTTATAAACATAGTACTTCTTACATAAATATCATTTCTATTTTCTTATAAATCATGCTGATATACACTCTGTCTCTGATAATTTGTAAAACCTATATATTCATGTTGAAATAGATATAGAGTGGTCACATACATTATATTGATAATACTTAATTCAAAATACATTCAAGACTCCAATTTTATTTGTCCACTTCATTTCTCTATTCATTTTACGGAATGATAAAGTATAATCATCTTCATTAAAGTTGGAAATATTTTTATATTTCTTCATTCAATATATTAATTCGAATTTATTTTAAATTTTGAAATATTTATCTTAAACATCTCAAAATCAAATACAATTTTATATCGTCCAACATGAACGATTTATTACTCTATCCTGTCGAATAGAAATTCATAATATATCGAATTGATAGTTTATTTTACAAAGTATATGTGATTGATACTTTAAGCAAACTATAAATGCAAATAACAAAATTATGAAATTATTATAAGATTTACAGCGCGATAATAATATAAAGTTTAACGTTCTTTACCTACTAAACCAACTTCGCATATCTTGCACACTGTGTCTTTAAACTGTGGGTTATAGCTGGCACCGCATAGGAAACACTTTACTTCCGGTTTTCCTTTGTAAATAGGTGTGTATGTGCTTGCGCACAACGAGAAGGGATTGTGTTCATCATAGGCTAACTTGTGCTCGTCAACAGGATTTTTATCACAAGACTGAAAAAATAGATGAAATTTTTTACACATTTACAAATATCAATTATTTAAATAAATATTTATTCACAGTGAAATGGAAATACCTGTAACAGAATCCGAATTTTTTGTGCAAGTTCAGGATTCGGTCCTAGCTCGAGTAATCTTCTTGCAAATGAACCAGCAGTCTTGTAATTCTTCAATTTGTAGAATAAATTCACAGCTACTTGAAGGGTGAGAATCTGATGCACGGGCTGCAAATTACAGTGCGTAAAGTACGCCGCCATCTCGCAAATCCTTTTCTGCTCGGCTAACGTGGATCTCGGCATACTTTTACGTTCAGTTTCCATTTTCAAACCTAAGATATACTCGCGACAGATCTGAATCAGTTGTTGACTCTCCGCGATGTCCTGTTTGGTATCGACAACGAGCAGTGGTATACTTAGCAAGATTCCTTGCAGTTTTTCTATCGCTTTGGCAAATTTGCCGTTAGTCGTCAATTGATAGCACAGTTGAAGGCGCTGAACCAATTCGGAAAGGTGCAATCCAACTGCAGGCACGCCAGTTTTCGCCGTAGCGTCCTTCCAGTTGGTCTCTTTCCAGTTTCTTTGAGGATATCCGTATATCGATGGTACATTAGGTAAACAAGCGTAAGATGTCCTGGCTCGGGCGTACGTATTCATAAACAGAGACTCGTAAGGTCCGAATTCTATTACTCTGACATGAGTATTCAACAATCTGAAAGCAGACTCAAACGAGCCGGCCAGTATGTGATCAACCACCAGCTTGGAGTTGTTAATCCAGTGCTGCGTCGGTGGAATTCCTTTGGTAGGCGGAGAATAGTAGCCTTCCTGATTCGCCGTAGACGCGACAACTTCGAGTTCCGGCGGAAGATCAACATCTTCGACGTCCCATCCAGGAGTCTCTTCACCTTCCGGCGCGATTTCCGTATCGACGCCTTCTTCGTCGTCTAGGCCGAGTTCCTCGTCCTGGCCCCATCCCTCAGGCGTCGTTGTACCGTCATCTTCCGGAGCGAGAGCGGCGGCTACCTGACTCTTGCCGCGAGACATCATCGCCCCCTCGAAGAAGCCTTTAGAGACGGTCAGCAGCGGCCAGTTGTTCTCGGCTTGTTGAATAGGTACAGGTGGACGGAGATATATGGCGCCGTTCTCCAACGAAGAAAGCTCTTCGCTCATCGATTCATACTGCGCGTCGTCATCCTCGTTTGATATTCCATGGATTTTTTCGGTAACATACGCCAACGAAGCTTGTCCAGAGCTCTATAAAAAGTTTAGATATAAGTTTGTATATAATTATTCTGCAATATTATAAAATGTTAAGTATTTGATATTTTTTAAATACTATTCAATGTGTTAAAATATTAAATAACATTTAATATAATAATCTACTTGAGGAATTTTTCTATTCAAATATAAATAAAATAAAAAATTAAGAGAAATACATACTCGCAAAATCTTAGCACGTTCATAAATGTCGCCAAGCAGCAAGCTTCCTTGATATTGTCCAGACACATCCTTTCGAATTTCCGCAATCTTAATCATTTTACGTAATTTTTCCAAGTTACCAGTTATAAGGTAAAGGAAGGCCAGCTTCTCGAAATTCTTTGTCCTTTGATAGCACATTTCCACGACTTGATGATTGCCTTGCAATAAAGCAGTTTGCGCTAAACTTTCCCAGCAAGATTTCTGATCGAGCGATCTTGCTGCTTCTAACGCGACTTCAATGTTTCCACATTCAAGCGCGAGACCGAATCTGGTCTTCTCGTCTTTCACGAAATGAAGCGCTACTTCTGGATATCCCTTCTGCTGCAAATATGCAATAATTGATTGTCCAACGAGATTTGCATTGCGCACCATGTGTAAAACTTCCTCGTATTTCCTGTTGATCAGTGCTAGCTTAAATTTGTATTCCGTCGGATCTATTCGCAGAATTCTCGGCTTGCATTCTCGATCCAAGCAATAAACCTGATTGCCCTTCACTTTCGTGACGTATATCGGCAAGTCTAGTGTACGAATGATTCCGTGATCGCCATTGCTGATTGCGTACTTAATGTGATTACTAGTTGTGTAAATAAACACGCCGGAATCATCCCAAGCGCCGGATTTCACTCTGGTAGTCTCGTGCACAGAACAGAGAGACTCTAAGCGACGATTGCAAATGTTGACGGTGTGTTTGGACAGCAATGCGACATGAGACATGTCGCTAGACCACACAACGTATCTGCACTTCGAGATTTTCACTTCCGCTAAGGTTCTCTTCTGTTGCACGTCAAACAGCGTTACCTGTTCTGGATCGCGCAAAAGCAGCATGCCGGTGCCAGCGTAAAATATTTCGTCGCAGTTTGGAATTTGCACCTTCTTCGTGACTTCATTTTTCAGGTTTTTAATAACTAACTGAAAAAAGAAATATTTATTAAATTGTGTTCTCTAAAAATATGATAAATATTTACAAAAGATAAAATAAGAATGTATAAAAAAAATCTCTAATTATTCGATTTAAACAAACTAATATTAATTAAATTATTAAATTTTGAAAAGTTTGGAATGTAATTAATCATTGCAAAATATGTTAACTCACCGAATACGCTCTATCTAACACAGCGAATCGATTCCTGGCAACCCAGATAGCAGTGAGGCCAGACGCTCGTTTGGTATCAGCATCCGTGCTCGAATCTCCCTCGCGTGGGATCATATATAAATCGTAAGTACTATTGTCGATGTTTGAGGGCGATCTCGTGCATACCAGAACGCTATTTTCCGCCTGATTATACGACATACTGTACGGCGCGGTTTTGCCTCCACTGCGAATTTGCATCACCGATGTGTCCTTCGACGAGGTGAAATCCAGCTTCCGAAGGAAACGGTCCTTCACGTAGTACAAAAGATTTCCGTATACTGCATACGCGGGACGTTCTCTCTCAAGCTTGAAGATGATCATACCAGAATCGTGACCGGCCGCAAACAGATTGAGAGTTGGATGAGCGGCGAGCACCCAAAATCTCTCGTGTTCCCTTCTAAATGTGTGCAAACACGTGCGTTTTGTCATGTCCCAAACTCGGATACTCTTATCTTCGGAATTTGAAAGGATGAGATCTTGTCGGGGATGGAATAGCAGGCAGGACACATTGTTGTAATGGCCGCGACACGTATCCACTTCCCACGCTTTTGCATCGTTCATCCGCCACATTTTGATCTGCCGATCATCGGCTCCAGAGAGAATCAGAGGTAACGAACTGTGAAAGCACGCCCAGTTTACGCCTCTGTCGTGACCTTCCAACACGTATTTCACCACTGCGTCTGCCTGGCCGAATAAATCGGTCGCGCCCGGATTCTTCAAATGATCCTCTAAGCCACCCGGACCCGGTGCCACATTCTTCTTGCGTAATCCTGCAATTATATTTATCCGGATATGAAAGTGTAATCATATTTCTTTGCGAGTAAATTACATGGTTCTGAAAATTATTACACCACACACTTTTAATTTCTTAATTCTAACTTCTTAAGCCTATTAATTTTATGAATTTATAAGTTTGATCAATTTTCAATTGATAAAATAATAACAAATAATAAATATAAGCAATATGCTTATAAGATTTTTTATACAAAAAATTAAGTTTATAGAAAATCTTAGATTGATATCCATTCTACTTTTTATAAAAATTATAATTTTCGATGTAAATAACATAAGGCAGTATTTTGAGCACAAACCGGAAATATCCCAAACGCGGACTGTTTGATCCAGCGAAGCTGATATGATAATGTCTTCCGTGGGATGAAATTGGGCGCACATTACATAATGATTGTGCCCAGTCAGAACGCAAATGCAAGTACGGCTCTGCCAGTTCCAGATACGGATAGTCTGATCATCTGAAGCACTAAGGATCCAAGGATATTCGTGATGGAACACTGTGGTCCTGATATAATCCAAGTGGCCCAATAAGGTGAAAATACATCTTCGTTGTTTATAATTCCAAACTTTGATCTTGTAATCGTCGCCGCCAGAAACAAATAGTGGCTGCTGATTGTGGAAGCATATGCCTCGGACCGGTCCATCGTGCTCGTCGAATTTGTCAAGCAAGGTGCACATACGGTAGTCCCATAATTGAATAACGCCATTGTGCAAACTGCAATTTTTTCATAGATACAAAAGATTTACAACATGTTATTTTTATCAAACTAATAATTGAAAAAAATTGAATCTTACATTTATGAGATGTAAAACACAGTGTAAGAATTTTATAACGCTAATAAATGAGAAATAAATTTGTTAAAAAATTTTTTAATATTAAATTTTAAATAAAATGCGTCTTTAACTTAAATTTTAACTTAAATTATTGATATTAAATAACCACTTAAATTTTAAGTTAAAATTATTATACTCAAAATTCAATTTTATTGATAATACTGATGCAAATTCTTTTTCCTTAATGTTACTCAACACCAACAATTTTCTGTACATATGGATATAATTTATTTCGAGAACGTACGGTGCCAATTTTGAAATCGTTTATTGGTTTGCACGCCACAAGTATTATCTTCTTTCATGAGTGCTGCCCTACATTACGAAAACCGGTGGTTCTTTTTTTTTTGGGTGCGTTACAAAATAACGCACAAATATAGAGGTCATTTGGAAACTGGATTTCGGGCGTGCAAATATATAGGGAGTGCAAATAAAGCGACAAAAACAATACAAGTTTAAAAATAAGAATTATTATGTCTTTTGGAGAAATTAATGTATAAACTCCATTATTTAAATAAATTTAAATAAATTTTTAATGAAAATGCTACAATTACGATTTTATTCAAAATTTAATAGATCTTTGTAAATAGTATTTAATCACCTTGTGTATCTTGATTCTACTATCTTAAAAAATAGGTGTGGCTCACCCATTACTTAATCTGAATACCAAAAGTGATTGGTTTTGATTCCTCCGGTTCGACCTTCTACTAATAATCCTTTTAATATGCATGAATATTAAGTACTTGTTATGGAAAGTCACTCGTTCATACATATTTAACAAAGAGATCAAATGTGATTGTCAAATTTTTCATTTGACTGATAACGAATCACCTTTCAACATGAATCAATCGTTACATCCTGCTTATGCTCATTTCAATTTAAATGAATAATAAAGCTATATTGTTGCAATAAGCATTATAATAAATATAACAAACAAGTTGTAATATATATTACATTATTTTTCACAGCACAATAATTAAATTCCTTTACTTTAAATTAAATCCTAGAATTAATACGACTATTATTATTACAAAATATATTTTAGATAATATATTCACACAAAAAATAATAAATTAATCAATTTTTTAAAAATTGCATGAATATGCGTAAGCAAAAGCATTTTTCACATTTGTTTTTTTTTTTCAAACAAGACAATTTATTCTTGTCTATAAAATGCAATTGCACAATTATCAAAAATACATAATGTGTGATAAAACTATCAAAACTTCAATTTACATATGCTAATATAATTTGGACAAATTCAATGATAGTCAGGGAACAAATAATTGACAGATCCCCTCAGGACATTTCTGCAAAATCAGGTCATCAGAAACAGAGGTGTACGCGCGAATGTGGTGGGGATGTAAAATGCACGGATGGAGGCCGTGTATATAGAGATCACCTTATTACAGCATCAAGGTAGTTTGCTCCTTAATTTCAATAAGCTCACATTTGCTCCCTTTGTCAACTTTCGACAATGGCATTCCTTCCATTTTTTATTACCATTGTAAGTACGCATTTGCATTTAAATCAAGAATTTATACCGAGTGTATCAAAACAGTGTGTTGTTTTAATAACAAATTTTTTGGTAAATTTAAAATCAATTTTTCATACACAATTTATCACAAATTTTAAGAAAATAAAATTTTCTTTTACAATTAATTAATAATTCGTAAATTTATATTTATTATGTTCATTTTTTTCAGCTTTTACTGGGTGTGACATTAGACAGAACATATTCTGCTTCAAATGAAGACATTCACTCAGCGTTTTCTAACATTCCAAGATTGTTCTACACAGCATCCGACTCTAATCCTGCTCTCAGTGGATATTCATATACAACTCAGGATTTTAATGGCGGTGAGAGTAATGTTGTTTTTACAACTGGCGCCGATTCTGTAAGCAGACTACGAAGTGAAATGAACTTAATGAAAATGCCGGAAACATATTCGCCAAGAGATATGTTGGATAAAACTCAAGAAAATTTAATATCTTCAAAACAACAATCTGAAGAAGTCGAAGCAAGCAATAAACAAGAAGATTATAATTTAAGTGCTGAAACCATCAATGAAGAGAAGAAACTTTCAACAAATTCTGAAGTGGATAGTAATATCATTGGACATCAAGAAACTCCTCAGCAAATTTCTTCTTTTGTACCTTATCCCGTATTTAGAGAAAATTTATTAAACTTGCACTTTCCAGCAGTGTTTCCGAGATATCAAGTGTCAAACGCGATACAAAACCAATATTATCCTTCTAATCCCTATGCTGCTTTAGAATTGCCTTTGCATAATTTTGGTTTCTACGATCCTGCTGTGCCACTATTTTATCAATCAGCAATCACAATCCCAGACAATAGCTTTAGCCATACATCAGCAGCTGATAAAGACATAAAAGAATCTATAGAATCACGTGTTATGCAAAAATCACAAATTAATGCCACTAGCTCTGAATCTAATTCTATAGAATCCGGTGTTATAAAATCAAGATCCAATTTAGAATTAAAGGCGAATGCAATTGAAGAAACATCATCTACTGAATCTGCTACCTCCATGAATACATTTGAGTCTACAACAATATATGAGAAAGATACGAAAAAAATTAGTAATAAATCAACAAACCCTGCAACAACAACTGAGAGTTCTGTTGAACAGATTACAGAAAACACAGCAAATAGTACTGAATCAAGTCTGTTATCAAATACAACATCTATCAATAAGAGCAATATCACTGAAGAAAAATCCACAAATAAAATTTAAATCTCATATATTACACTATTCTGTAACAATAATATTCATAACAATAGGATTCTTAATAAAATCTGGCAAGATTACTGCAATTGTACATACCATTTAAACCACATTAAAATAAATTTTTTACTTATCACTAAATTATGTAAATCCTTTTTATAATACAATAAAAATAATTTTCAATAATAAAATAGTCATGTCTTTATAAAATTATCAGTGTTTATGTTCAAGTTATTGAAAGCACTGTGCATTAAATAAGAGGTTATGTCTATGCCAAAAAATACGCATACATATACAAGAAATCGTGTAGCAAATAATTTTATTATGTCGTAAATGATTAAATAGAATTTTGTTCTTGCGAATAGTTAAACGTTTTTAAGCATTAGTTTTTAAAATGTCACCAAATGGTCAAAAAGTTAAAAAACGTCTGTCACTCACCTAGCAAGTATCCAAGGACGTTTTGGATGAAAAGACAAGCCTTTCACTCGAGCAGATTTCGTCTCGAACTTCGTCAACATCTTTTATCAATTATTTCAGGCACAATTAGTTAAATATTGCTCTCTTGAAATTCTTGAATATTTAACACGACAGAAGACACGTCACTATATCACCACAAACTATACTGGTACATAGATGTATTTTGCGTGTTGTTTTTATAACAACAATACTGGTAACATTTTGATTATAAAATCAAAATCCCTAAAATTTACTAGAGCAGTATTTATGCATTTAATTATTTATTTAAGGTATTTGTTATTAGATCTTGCTGTATATTAATTTTTAATGTTATAAAGAAAAAGTATAATAGAGATAATAGAGATGTAAAGTAGAGATAAAATACAGATAAGTAAAAATACAGATAGTAAATTTGAAACACATCGATGAGTTGCACGCGGTACATTCTGATTGGTCAGCAGTCTACATTAATGAAAGACACATTTTGTCGTCTGGTCCATCTAACCTTTGATGTCAATCCTTAGATGTGTTAAATGGTATTATTTAGAGCAATTATGATTTAATTCAATACAGGATAAACATTCAGGGGACGTTGGTTTTTTATTGGTTTTTGAGAGTATATTCTCTGTGCTTCCTACAATTTTTATATAAACTACGATTGTGTCGACAGCCGGTGCGGTATAATGCGAGTGCCGACCAGTATTGTATTTTTTAATCTTTTTATTATTCTATCAGTTTGTATGAACAGCATTCACTGTGAAAAGGAAAACTTGGATAAGGAGGAGCTTAAGTCTCAAAAATTACCACCCTGTGCAGCATGTAAAATGCTTATCAATAGTTTTAAAGAGGTAAACATCACTTTTGGTTCCATAAATTTACACATATGTAGTTAGAAAATCATGCATTTAAATTATTTTATACTAGTGTTATTAAAATAAAAGGGACAATTTTATTAAATTATTTAAATGTTATATAATTTTAAATTATTATTATTTTTTAGGGTTTAGAAAAGACAAGCCGTGGAAAGTTCGAAGGTGGAGATAGCGCTTGGGAAGAAGATAAACTAGGTTCATATGCAAGAAGTGAAATAAGATTAATTGAAATACAGGAAAACTTATGTAAAAAGATTGAACGTGGCGAAACGCAGTGTCATTCTTTAGCTGAAGAATTGGAGAGTCTGATAGAAGAATGGTGGTTTAAGCATCAAGACACTCATCCAGATATATATGATTATATTTGTATCGAAAAGACAGAACGTTGTTGTCCAAAGGATCATTATGGTTCAACTTGTACACCCTGTCCAGGATATCCAGATAAAATCTGTAATAATAATGGCAAATGTAAAGGAGCTGGTACAAGAAAAGGAAGCGGCGGTTGTTTATGTGACAAAGGATACATTGGAGACACATGCTCAGAATGTGCTTCAGGATATTATGAATCTTATAAGGATGAAAAGACTTTGCTATGTTCTGCATGCCATGCAGCATGTGATGGACCTTGCAAAGGTGCTGGACCGAAGGATTGTGAGAAATGTGCAAGTGGATGGTACATGATTGAAGGCAAAGGCTGCTTTGACATTGATGAGTGTTTAAAAATTGAAGAAACTTGCTCTAACAATCAATTCTGTGTTAATAAAGAAGGAGGCTATACTTGTTTAAGTACATATATGTTATATATTTTTAACAACTTTTATTATTTTTAGAATTTTCGATGTGAAAATTAAAAATTTGAAACTTTTTCAGCTTGTGACAAAGCCTGCGATGGTTGTACTGGCGACGGTCCAGATATGTGCATCAAATGTACTGAAGATTACTATAAAAAAGATAACATGTGCATAAGTGAGTATTATAAATGGATTAATGAATAGCATTTTAAGTAATACATATTTATAATTTATGTTACTTACAGATTTAGATCTTCTTGGCCGCAAAAGACAGGAAAAATGGGCACGATATCTCACATATTTTGGACTCTGTGTAGCAACATGTATTATTTCACAACGCAATGTTTATGCGGCAAGCATTATTGGCTTGCTAGTTTCAATATATATGACTGTCTCGGAGTACATGATTGCTCATAGCAATGCCCAGCATGCAATGGATATTCTAGGACTTAAATAGGACAGCTTAAATAGGAACACATTTTAAATAAATTTTTTGTGAAATTGTTACAGTATTGTGTTGTGTCACACACACGTATAAGGAATCATCCATATGTAAAATAAATCATATTAGAATTAATTTATAATTATTAATATATACAACTAAGATAACAAAGATATAGAAATTTTATTTATTTTTTAACAGTATCTTTTATTGACATTCCTAAAAAATTCTTTGATGTTGTTCCTGATGTATGTATACATGTATGTTTCTAATATCATCTATATATTCACTTTATACATATAATTATATGGTTAATTATATAATTAATAATCTTTATTAAGATATCGAAATGTTTTATAACTTTTTTACTGACTAGTTTTATAATACTATTTCTTATCTGTCAAAATAATTGAAATTGATTTCATATATCAGATATATTTTATACAATTTAAGATCAAGTCTTTGGATAAAGATGTTATTACAATTGCATGCACAATGTATAAAAGAACTTTTAAATTGACATAAAATAACATTATAATATTACATATCCCAATCATATAGTTTCTCATTACTTTATGTTTTCTTATTTTGAATAGAAACATAATCGTAGTTAACTATAAAAATGTTTCATTTTTTGTTTTTTATAATTTAGTTGACAGAGCAATCTATCTCGTACAATAAGTACAATGTTGCTGCTGTCTGGTAATTAATAATAATGAGAAAATAATATTTCGTTAACAAAGCAATTCATCGGTATTTCTTATAGGAATAAAGATTGTTAAAAAACTTGAAAAAAATGTACAATATAAATATATAAATTAATTTTAACAATATTCGATTATTTCGATTATTTAATTGTTTTATTCGATATTTAAGTGTTTGTTTATTCACGATTTAATTTCCCAGACAACACGTCTGAAAAAATGACGTCTTTTGAACGTTTTTATTAAGATTTACGTGTTATCTGGGTTAAATAATTGAAAAAATAAACTATTTAAATTTTTCATATTTTTTAAATTTAACAATTTTAATAGTAATTAATATAAACACACAACTAAAATATAATAAACCAACCAAATAGTACGTCGCTAGGTGGAGAAATATATATATATATAATATCACATCACCTCATAATAAACATTTTATACTTTACTATATCTTCTCGATATAACAAATTTCAATTGTATTTAATAACTTTATATCCATAATATATGTTTTGAAATATTTTTCAAGTGGAACATGCCTAACGTAAAATCCAAAATAAAATTTTTCTTCTCTTAGTATATAACATGTTTCTATATATACAAATGTACGCAAAAGCCAAGAAAGATATCAGGGATCAAAAATGTGTTTAAACAATACAAATGTACATTTTATATTTTGAATGTACGTGAAATCTAATTCTAAGTTTTATTTTATTTGCTTGTATCAGTTTGTGCACAATCTGTTCACATGCTTTTGCCAGCAGACTAAATTAGTTGTGAAGATGTCGTTAGATGGCTAAACTTCGAAATAGTTTCTCGTAGTCAAAATTTTTTGCATCTTCTTTATAAAAATGATATTAAGCAAATACATTATTAAGCAATATTTAATATAAAAATCAATCATATTGATGATTGATTGATATTTTTTGACAATAATCCATCCCGTAAAACGGTTATGAAATCTAAAATTAATACTAATAAAATGTAGTAATAATTTCGATCGTCTTACTTCTATCGAACAAACCGCGTATTGTTTGTTAATAATAAAATAAAATGGTAATCAATTGTGGTAAAAAATCCATTCTTACAACAAAATTGGAATATTTTAGTCTTTCTATAATTTAATTTATTTATTTACGAAAAAATATATCAAGTTTCTCGCTTTAAAATTTACATTTTCTATTTATAGATGCATTTTGTTAAATCAACCACCTCATGCATTTCGTATGCATCACACTATAAGCAGGGCCGAATTTTTGCATAAGCAATATAAGCAATTGCTTAGGGCCCCGCGCCAGCAAGGGCCTCAAAGGTTCCATACAACTAATTTCATACGAGTATTAAATTGACGGAAAAAATTAAGAAGGCCCTCTTTACAGTCAGTGCTTAGGGGCCCCCTACGATCTAAATCCGGCCTTGACTATAAGTTTAATAAAAGTATACATTGGTGTATATCAGACATGTCCAAACGCCGGCTCTGGAGCCAAAGTGGAGAGCGAGAATTTTCCCTTCTCCAGATGCTCGCCGCTCGACTGTCAGCGCGAGGTGCAGTGCGGGGAAAAGAGCCGCCGATCCCTACTATCGAAGTCTCGTGTTACAACAAATAAAATTTATAAATAAATAGCATAAGTATTAAAGTAAAAAATTGTAGATATAGTAGATCATAGAGAAGCACGTTGTATAAACTTTGTATGCAATAATATGTAACAATCATTAGAGCGTGGAAGTTTGGGAAATTTTATAATAAATATTTTGGTAGTCCGAGATACAGAGCTACTTTTTTTGATAACAAAAATAGTAAAAAGAAATTACAAATTAATGTATGTGAAAACCTCCCTTGCACCTCACTAACAAGTGAAAAGCCTGATCGAACAGTGAAGGAGTATAGAGTAACCCGAAACTGTTTTTACGACCTTTGTATTAAACTGGATGATCTGTTTATAAACATAACTATTTCTTTGCACGGTAGTCGGAGCGTATGTCGTGACTAGTGTGGGGAGCGCAGAGAGGGATATGATATCTCGCGCGACGTCGGAGAAAGAGAAGGCTCCTAGCGTTACTCCCCAGGCGTTGGACATGTCTGGTGTATATAGAAGACTAAAATCTAATTAAAAAATACCATAGTTTGACGCTAGATGGACATATACTTCAATACTTTCTCGTAATTAAGTATCGCATACTTCCACTATTTTTCTTAAAGCACATGAGCCTACACGTATTATTTAGCTTTATATCCATAATATATTTTTTGGATGTTTTTGTGGACAAGGTTACTTAACTTAATCCAAAATAAAATTTTCTTTTTCTGGGTTAGAAATAAACACTTTGATTTGTTGATATAAAGTTTTAAGCCTTTCAAAAATTAATTTTTTTATATTTTCATATTCATTAATCGATACAATAGTTTATTTAATGTCTTAATTTTAATCGACTTTTATTAAATCTTACTAATTTTTATTAGATCATATTAAATATCTTTATAACATTCTGTATTAATTTATTATAAATATACATACTTAAATCATTAATTTTTTTACTATATGTGTATAAAATTATTAAGGCACAAAAGTTCATAAAGTTTTACAATAAATCTTCCTAAATAAACGAACTGAGATGCGTTGAAAACATTCAACTGTTTTTTTGTATGTGCAATTGTTTTCACATACATTAATTTGTAATTTCTTTTTACTATTTTTATCAAAAAAAGTAGCTCTGTACCTCGAACTACCAAAATATTTATCATAAAATTTCCCAAATTTCCACGCTCTAACGATTGTTACATATCATTACATACAAAGTTTATACAACGTGCTTCTCTATAATCTACTATATATACAATTTTTTTCTTTAATACTTATGCTATTTATTTATAAATTTTATTTGTTGAACTAATATTTATGCATATATACAGGGTGTTTCATAATGTCCATGCCAACGCTCGTGTGCGAATAGAGTGCGGTAAACTGAATAGAAAAGTCCTTTACCGTTTTGCAATTTTCGCAATAGTAATTGAGATATTAATTAAAAGGGATT